ATAGCTGATTATAGAACTAAAGCTTTGCTTTCATCGTGATGCTGAAACCTCAGGAGATAGTAATCTTAAGGTTTGGATCCTTATCTAAACTTCATCCAGATTGTTACACCCTTAAATTCTACCAAATCTGGCTGCATATCACACAAGAACAGGCTTTTTGCTTTGTTTTGTGAGGTTGTTTGGTACTTCCTGCCCCTGTCCAGAAATGCTGCAACACATCTCATCAGAAGATATTTATAAGTATTCTTTCAGCATTTCTCATTCCAGACTGGGTGGAGGCTACAAGGAGGATGATTCACTTTGAACTCTAATAAAGATATAACTGTGTATAAAGAAATCTCTTGGTTGAAGCATCTGGGGGCTGTATGAGGGAGAAGAGGTTTAAAGTCTCTTTATTAAAATGCACCACATAACTTGTGCTATCCTGAGCAGTGCCTCTAGATTCCTTTCCAGGCCTGTTGAGGAGTAGGAGTGTCTCTGGGGGATCTGTTACCTGATTTATATCAAGACTCATCTGCACTAGAGAGATTTTCCCCTGTATTTTCTGAATACTTGGTATGACTCAAAATAACAAAAAAGAGCTCCTGATGTATGTACCCCACCGAACCCTTCCATAATTCTGTCACTAATCCTATTTGTGTAAAACAGGAGAGTGATTGTTTTGGTTTTGAATTCCTCACCCATCTCACTAAGTAATGGCAAAACATCCCTGACTCTGTGTGTGTAGGGCGTCTCTAGCCATGAGTGCTGCAGAGGTGGCAAATTCTCCTATGGGAACTGCTGGTGGGTCTGCTGTCTGCAGCCAGCAAATGCCTTCAACAGTTTGTCCTCAGTCCCATGATCTATGGCACTCTGCTGCTGGAGAATTGTTTGGAGGGTTTCAAAAGCACATTTTTCTTTAGAAGTGCTGGTTTGTTGAAGCTCATCATGAAACAATCCATTTCTTTCCTTGGTCTCTTGCGAGTCTGGAGGAGGGAGCTGTATTTTTTCTTTATAAACCAGTCATCCCTGCAGTTTTTCTGTACAGATGTTGAAGAAGAAAGAGCAAGAACTTACCACATTCCTTCCTGGGAATGTGGGAAACTGGATGAGATGAAGAGTCACTTAGACCAGTCAGTGCCCTGAGTGGTGGGCAGCTGGGTACCCTAAGATGGGTGAGCTGTAACACATCCATCTGGCTCATTAAATAGTGTGAGTGGGCACTCCAGGAAGCACTGTCCCATTAAGGCAAATGTGTGCACTGATAATAACTGCCTATTGTCCAGGTTCTTGCTTATAGATAAACATATATAAATACGTTTGGTTATGGGTAAAATAACTCCCAAACTAAATTTCCCCTCAGGTTTTACAGAAAACCAGCCACACGATTGTTATTTTCTGTTCTAGTGGAAACATAAAAGTACAGCAGAAAAAGTGTTTGTGCTCTCAAAATGAAGTTTTGTTCCAGAATATTTAATATTGTCTTTCATGACAAATGTGCTGCAGCTCGGACATTGCTCCAAAGAGGAATTAAGGATTTGTCATCTTCTGCCTTATGCCCCAGTAGCTGGTTCCTCAATAAAACTTACAATGATTCCCCTGAGCATATGAGGGGAAAGCACAGCTTTAGATGAATTCTGGTGCTCAGACTATGCTTAGCTCTTGTTTTTTGGTACTGGCCTATCAAACCGAGTTGAAACTCAAGAGAAATACATTAATTTTTCAGCCCACTGATCACAAAGCTTGTTACCTGGCTCCCAGTGAATGTGCCTTTGCTGAGTATTAACTAACTTGGAGCTAGCCCCAAAGAGATGAAAATGTGACTCAGGACAGAGCATAATAACCTTCCCACACCTCATTATGGTGAAGAAGCTTGTGCTGCTGTCCTGCTTTCCAATTACTCGTTCTGGATATAAGTGGAAAACGTCATTTCTCATTCTTTCCTTTCCCAAAGTGTGTCATTTTTATGCATTGATGTTGCAGTACCTCCAGTCAGAGGTCAGGGCATCTTCGTGGTAGTTGTTTTATTATACAGAATGAATAGATTTCCTACTCTAGCCTTTCCCATTGGAATGAATAGAATTGCATAAGGCATAAGAGAATTAAGAGCAGGAGAATCCAATTGGACTGAAAGCTCTATTAACCCACACCTCCCTCTTACAAAAGCCCAACAACTTGCTAACAAACTGACCGAGTACAAAACACCATGTAATGAGGATTCAGTTCCTCCCTCCCGAGGCAGCTGTTGGTACCATGCAGAGGACTGGTTTTCACCTGAGCTTTCTGCTGCAGGGCATGAACTGGCCATTACTGAATTACATACATATTGAAGTGAACTGAGCTTTACTGGCAGATGTGGCATGCTCAAATAGCTGAGGTTTTTCCTTATCTGCATTCTCAGAATTGTGGGAAACCCCCAGTTACGGTGCAGGTAACGAAGAGGGTATTAAGGGAAGGTTGTGAGGAATGCAAACTATTAAGATAGCATTTTTATTCTATTTTGGCTCTTAGGGATTTGCTCTTTCAAATACAATGTAACTCCCTAATGCTTTTTATCTGGCCTTTTGGCAACATTTAACCAGATAGTTTTTCTAGCTATGCTGTACTTGATGTGCAAAATCAGGGGGAAAAACTCTTGTTTATACCACAGAAAATCCACAGAATTCCTGCAGATCACTGAGCTTTCTATAGGATTTTATACCCAGGGAGAAAACAAAAGAAGAGGAAAGGTTTCTATAAATAAAACTTCCAGTTTAGGGTGTTTTACTATGAAGTCTGCTCAGGTCATCAGGATTTATTGTTGGTTTTGTTACTCTGCATGACCATGAGGTGGCTGTGGCGGTGGGGAGCTGGAGCTCTCTAGCACAGCACCTGCCTGGTGTCTGTGCTAGGCAGAGCACTGAGCTGCCTGGGCCACGGTGTGCACCTTCTCTGCATTGCAGTCTGTTGAGCCTTGTAGGCTTGCCTTTGGATGTATGATATCTTGCCTTTGGATGTATGATTCCTCTGGGACTGGCTTTCCCATCTTCAGCTAGACATCTTCAGCTTCTAATTTGGTCCAAGGACATAAAGAATGGATGCTAGTGGGTCACATGGCAGAATGACACTACTGAAATAACAGCTTGTATTTGTGGTTTATTTTTAGCTTATTTCCTGTTGTTCCCCTGCAGCTGCTGCTGTTGTCACAAAAGCTTCCTTTCTAGTTGTTTTCCTTACAATATACATACATTGTGCATATAGACATCTGTGTGTCAGAGCATCTGGGTGTGGACTCACCAGGCTGTTCAATGTATCTGCTTATGACTAAAGTGGCATCAGCCCAAGCTCTGGGCAGGCAGACGTCTTCCTTGACAGGCAATAGACAGGGGACCTCAGTCCTGACCCAGACACTGAATGCCACTCCTGCACTACTTCACAACAAAGGATTGAGTCAGCATTAGTCTCATTTTGGTACTTAATGTCAGAAGAAGCCATTTGTCAGGAGTTACCATATTTACATGCACTGTGAGGGAGGGTAGGGCCTTCACATCAATGGGCAGGATGCTATCCCATCAGGTGTCATATGGTTTCTTGCCCTCTCCTTTCTATTTTTAATTTCCCTTTGAAGTGAGCTGATTGAGTCATGCAGAACTGAAATAAATGTTTAAAAACGCAAGAGACAATAATTCAGTTTCCTTATTCCGTGTCCTATTCCTGTACTGAGCAGACACTCCTTGTCTTCTTAGCTTCCGAACTCCTCCTGCGTCTATCATTTGCTTCCTGAATTTCTTTGCCTTATGATAACACCATAAAACCCATCCAATTATTCATTTAGCCTTATTGTTTCCTTTTTTTTTTCCTGAGGGGTAGCCAATTCTCATAAATAAAGTTACCCTGGACAGGTTAACTTCAGCCCATGGGGTGTTCAGATCGGGTGTTAGGCTTTACAAGTGGCTCTCAACAAAGGAGCGTGAGCAGCAGGTTGAAGGAGGGGATTCTGCCCCTCTGCTGTGCTCTGGGGAGAACCCCCTGCGGCCCTGATCCAGCTCTGGGGCAGCAGCACAAGAGGGACGTGGAGCTGTTGGAGAGTCCAGAGGAGGCCCTGGAGATGCTGCGAGGGCTGGAGCAGCTCTGCTCTGGAGCCAGGCTGAGAGAGCTGGGCTGGGTCAGCCTGGAGAAGAGAAGGATCCTGAAGGAGAGACCTTAGAGCAGCTCCAGTGCCTAAAGGGGCTGCAGGAAACCTGGAGAGGGGCTTGGGACAAGGGCCTGTAGGGACAGGACATGGGGAATGGCTTTGAACTGACAGAAGCAGAAACTTGGTCTAGTGGAAGGTGTCCCTGCCCATGGCAGCGGGTTGGAACTGGGTGAGCTTTAAGGTCCTTTCCAACCCAAACCAGTCTGGGATTCTAGGATTGTTAACGTGTAATTAGGAATTATTTCCCCCCCTGCCTGGCATTTGCTGGAATTGGGAAAGAGATGAAGGTTGTCAAAAGCTGATTTCTGCATGTTTATCTTATCATTATCCTTCTACTGCCTGAGGGTACAACAGAACTGAAACTGTTACACACTAACGCATGTCGTTGCTCAGTTCCAGTGCCACATCATTATTTTCACCACAGTGTCATGCCCAATGACAGACGAGCCATGAATTACCCATATTTTGCTCAGAACATTCTGTTCTTAGCACATTTGTGTGTGTTTTGTAAAGATCCTGTAGATGCCTTTAGTGAGGGTTCTAATTCTACTGAAGTGGCATTGGGAGGTCCTGGCTGTAGTAGCAGCACCCAGAAGACAGGGTTTTTACCACTGTTCATTGCGGGCCTCACGGTTTCACATGAAATCTCCCAGTGAGTGAATTCTTCTGCCTCACTGGTTGGTACCTATTTGGTGCTCACAGCTTCCAGTACAGGTCCTTCAGCAGAGTATCTCCATGGCTGACCCACCCTCACAGATTCTATATGGCACCTTATGTAGCTTTAGCTAAGTGTAATACGCATATGCACTCTAGTGACACCTTTTCCTTCATTTCCTTCTTCTCCCAGGTATTATGACAACTTTACCCAGTGCACAGAACGTGAAGCCAACAATGCGAGTTGCTTTTGGCCAAACCCTCTCGCAGAGGGCTTCATCACTGGAATTCATAAACAGTTCTTTTCAAACTGCACGTCAGAGAAGGTTCATTGGGAAGATCCACCGGATGAAATCCTTGTAACCCTCATCTTGATCCCAGTCATGTTGACGTGTGCCATGATAACACTGGTGGTATGGTGCAGCAAGAGAAGTGATATCCTGGTGTAAGTTCTTCCCCTGGGCTTTATTTTTCTCCATCTCCTTCCAAAACCACTAAGAAGGAAAGAGAAACTCGACAGAAGGATTTCAGATCTGCTGAAATGGAACCTGTGAGATGCTGAGATTGAGACAACGCTCCTGTGAACTAAGAGCTGCCTGCTGCTGCTGCCCAAAGTCACTGCTTCTGAGCTTGGATACTGGTGTTGCTGGTGCAAAGTTCTCTACTTCCATCAGGCTTCATCATCATGGAATTCTCAGGCAGCTCCCAGAAACAGGAGAGTCCCCAGACAAACGGACCCCTTAACTGCAAAAGGGATAAAGTTACTTTACATGGGTAAAGCTGGTTGGTAAACTAAGTTTTGCAGAACTGTATGTAAGTGTCTGTACATGTGGTGTAACCCTGACAGCGGGGAAGATGGCATCTCTGGAGTTCTTGTGTAGGACACTGGAGGTTTTCATCTGTGAACCCTGTGGCTCGGACAGATCACTGGCAAAGGAAGTGAACATGGATGTAACCAAGTGGCAGCTTTTCCTGGAAGCCAGTCAAAACCATCATTATCAAGAACTGGAAGTATTGTTCTGGCAAAGGAACAATTTATGTGTCCAGTGACTATGAGCATGGGGAAGTTATCATGCCACTTTCACAACAAGTCATAAAATGCCTTTAAGCATGGCTACTTGGAATTGTATGGCTTACAAACGAGATCTGGGAAGATCTACAAGAAGTCTTCTTTTACAGAGCTGAAAAACGGAAAATCAGCTGATTATAAATATACTAAGGAATAATGAAGAAACTTTCCTATGCCAGACTCTGTTTTTCCTCTTTTATAGTGATTATTCTTGATGACTTGTGTTCACTGTATATTCCCTGCTCTCACTTCACTCTGTGCAAGAGAGATCCTACAAATCAATGTAAAGGCATCATGTTGCTTGAGGTGCCTTTTGGAGTGTAATTTTGTACATAAATCATTCTTCATCCCGTGAAGAGTGGGGAGCTAAAGCATGAACATCAAACAGGAACAGACAGAGGAGGAAAGAGAAAAACTTCTACTCAGAATTCTTACGCTATAAAGCTATTCCTGTGTAACAGTTGAAATAAAGATTATATGCCCAAAATAAACCAAGTTCCATGTTTGTGTTGTAAACCTCTTTTCTGTCATTTCACAAAATGCCTTTCAGTCAAATGCTTTTCTGTTATGTTTTGAGCAGTATCTGTTACAAGTGACTCTTCATTTTTCCATACACACAAGTGAAATACAGTTTGAATGGTGTTTTATCCCCCCCATGGCAGGGGGGTTGGAACTGGATGATCTTAAGGTCCTTTCCAACACAAACCATTCTGTGAGTCTGTATCTCTGCTAGTTAGATTTTCTCCTTTAAGATTCTGGCCCTGTGTTTGCGACTTAGGTCTGTGTGTGTGAGAAGCATTTCCGGGCTGGAATCAAAGCAGAAGTGCCCCCATTACTGGAATTGCTTATATGTAGACAGATAAAGAACCCCTGCAGCTGTACTGGTTTGTTTTCACATCCTTTCACAAGGGTTGAAGGCACTGGCTTGCTTTTTCATTACCCTCATGTTCGAATGATTCATTTTCTAAAGGTGTTTCCTGTGTGTTTTTCCAAAGATCCTTTTTCATTCTCTAGATGCTGGGAGAAAACTCCCCTTTGTAAAAGAAGACTGACATACGCACTGAGGATTCTGCTTTAGTTTTCTACCGAACTATGATTTTCTGCATTACCAAAACTAGTGATGGGTACAAACCCCAACCCCTCCATCTGATCCAGAACAGCGTTTGGTTTTGTGGTTTTTGGGGCCAAACCCCAAACAATGCATGAAGTTTCACTGTAATCCTCATTTTACTTTAAATTTCACCAAGCTTCAAAGTGAGTCTCAAAACTTCACAGAGCAAATACTTGTAGACTTTTTCAAACCCTTGTTCATTTAATGTGATTGCCATGTGTGGTCCAAAGTCTTGGCCAGTTCTAGTTCATCTGCAACTGAGTTCAGCTGATCAACAGCTCACCTGAGAGTTACACCCCCCTTCATTCAATATACAACAGACTGGAGAAGAAGCTGTCACCCTGATGGCATCATGCTACTGGATGTGTATGTAGTCTTTAAACAAATGCCTTGTTTAAATGGATTCTATTTTATGTGAGAGTAAAATCTACGATGAACAAGTCTAGGAAATGTAACATTCAAAGAATGAATGTGCTGTGGGGAGGGGGAAGGATTCTGCTGCTCTATATGTGCTTTGTATTTGTGTGTCTTCCCCATCCACAGTGTGATTTTCCTCTGTGGTTTTTATATACTTGATAGAAGGGTACAGAAGTTGAATTTAATGCAGCCTCAGCAGTGAAATCTATATCATTTATAGTGTTTCAAGGAAAAAAGCAGCTGCCGTGTCCAGTTCTTAACAGCTGTGACCACTGATAGAGAACCACAGTGGTAACTATTGGATCCTTTGACCTAACTTGTACTATATGTAAGTGAGAGTTAGTGATTACTTTCTAATGCATGGAGTCTGCTACCTTTCCCCCAAAGCCTGTTTCCATTGCCAAGGAAATTGCATTTCAGACCAAGAATCTGGCTTGTTTTCTAATTGTGAATTGATTCTATGTTACAGCAGAGTCTCAGAGGAAAACAGGCAGAGATTCAGCCTGAAAGGAAATAACTGGTTTAAAATCCTTCCGAGAATGAGAACAGTGTTTGATCCCAAGAAATGCTCAGGCAGAAGAGAAGTGACAGACTGGCTGTGCAGCTGTCTGACACTGCTTATATGCTCCAAGTTGCAGGGTTTTCTGCATTCAGGGACAAGTGGGGAAGTGTCCTACAGCTTCAGCAAGCCCTTGCCAGAAGAAGACAACAACTACCGGGAGCAAGGCAAAGGCTGAGAGGGCTGCCATCGCTTTCAAGAAATGTATCAAGGATGAAGGCTGGAGGAGGAAAAGAGCTATGGAAGTGCAAGGAAAAAGATGGTTGAGAACAAGAAACAGTCAACTACACAAAATAATTCAGGATTTCTTTCCAAGATGCCTCTTGGAGCACTGGGTGTCCCTGCCCATGGCAGAGGGTGTTGAAACTGGATGATCTTAAGGTCCTTTCCAACCCTATTTGATGATTCTATGACTGGTAAGGAATAGTAAGGAAATCTTACATGCACTCTCTGTCTCTTCTCCAGGCTGAACAGCCCCAATGTTCTTAGCCTGTCTTCATATGGGAGGTGTTCCAGTCCCTGAGCATCCTCATGGCCTCCTCTGGACTTGCTCCATGTCCTCTTTGCTAGATAGTCTTTTGGGACATCTCTAGATGAAGATCTTGGAGACAAGTTGTGGCAGAAGGAAGCGCAGCTGTGTGGAGACCTCAGAGCAGCTTCCAGTTATCTGAAGGATGCTGGAGAGGGACTCTTCATCAGGGCCTGTAGCGATAGGACAAGGGGTGATGGGGTCAAACTGAAACAGGGGAAGTTCAGGTTAGATATAAGGAGGAAGTTCTTCCCTGTGAGGGTGCTGAGGCGCTGGCACAGGGTGCCCAGAGAAGCTGTGGCTGCCCCATCCCTGGCAGTGTTCAAGGCCAGGTTGGACAGAGCCTTGTGCAACACGGTCTAGTGTGAGGTGTCCCTGCCCATGGCAGGGGATTGGAACTGGATGAGCTTAAGGTCCTTTCCAACCCAAACCACTCTGTGATTCTATGCAATCTTACTAGTCCTAACAGGACACTCTAACAGGAGTACTTAGGTCAGCTTGGGGCTACCTGGAGTCAGCCTGCAGGCTTGAAAGCCTCCCTTGGGAAGACTCGGGTTTGCTGGGTTTTGACAAAGAGAGCATTTTCTAAGGATAACTGTTGCTAACTGAGGTCACAGTTCATAGACATTTTATTGGATCAGCATCTTAGAGACCTGTGGATCTTTGATGAGACTTTGAATGGATGGATTCCCACGAGCTTCAGTCTCTAAGGAGAGATATTTGCTTACAGCATACTATTTATGAGGTGGCTGCAATGAATTTTCCTGCCAGCATGAGTGAATCCCAGCTCTCTTGTCCCGGATTATTTTCAAGTGAAATCTCTGCCAGCAAACTTTACCTTTTTTTAGGAATTAATCTGGACATTAAAACCATATTTTAAAACTTTTGGAGAAACAGCAGTATTTGGCAATCATGTTAGCAGAATATCTGCAGATTCCACTTTTTTCCCTGTCTTTCAACACTTTGATGTTGCTAGCAAAAATACCAGGTTTAGGGTACTTCCTTTAGCAGAGCAGCAGAACTTGCAGTCCGAATTTCAAAGCAGCTTTCTAATAACTAAAGTTCTAATACTTGCTGCAAACTACTCTCGTAAATCTACTACATAGACTCTCTTTGCCTGAAAGGAGTGTGAGAAAGTCAAATCAATAAGCATAATCTTACTACTTCAACTGTGGTGACCGCTCACGGGGTCTGAACGCTGTATGTATCTGATATAATCTGAAGTAATTATGAAATAGGGTTGAATAGGTTTGGTTTAAGTGCAGGAAGTTAACTGCACATTGCTCATCTTGGGGTTTGTTTCAGCTGAAGCAAACATTGCTTAAGAATTGCAGTTGCTCTGTATTTGAAAATCAAGTTACCTTTACTGTGGGTATCTCACTTTAAGCTCTCAAATGTGCAAGTTTTGATTTCACTGGATTAGAGGTGGAATACCTGCACAGGTTCAGACTGTGCTTTGCATTGTCTAAGTGTATGGTATTTATAGAGTGCTATGAAAACATTAATTGTCTTCCAATGTTCTCTCATCTCCAAGAGATGAGAGTTGGACTCCTTTGCTCTCAGAACAGTAACAAGGGTGACCAGCTCTCTGGCTGGGAACACAAGGGGCTTTCTGAAGTTCTCCTCTGGATGCTAAGTGTGCAGATTAATATCACTCCAATCATTACGATGGGAATGTTCTGGGAGAAGCATGATAAGACATTGAGAAGTGTGTTCTTTGGCAGTCATTTTACATTCTCTTTTTATGAACAGTCAAAGAAGTACACAGAAGGATCTGATCCTTCCTATCTTCCAATGCACTTTCTCTTCAGTTCAAATGCCTTTGAGTCCAAAGATGGAGATACTTTGGAGTCTGGAGAATTCAAAGACCAAGAGCTTTCCTTTTGGACCTCAGTGTGTGGTCATCTTAACACCCTCCTTTACAGAGGTTAACCTTCATTTTAGCTCAAGAGCTTTAAACGTATGTCAGTTAAACATTAGCTTCACCACTGCATTTCCCCACTCCCAACGCAGACTACAGCCTTTTTGGCCCTCAGAAATATACCAAGCAACATTTAAGGTTCTTTTAAAATAGTGCTGGTATTAAGAGGATGTTAGCAGATGGAAAATATTGTCTATCCCCTTTTATCTTAGCTTCTAGACAGGCTACAAAGATGTATATGTGGATAAGTAAAAAGAAACAGTCACCTATCAAGAGTAAATGTTGACAAAATTGCTAGCTTATGTAAAACTTGATGGAAGTTTTACAGCAGCTGTAGCAAGTAGGGTTTCAAAAATCATATGGTCAATGTAAATATTCACTTAAATTCTGATTATATTGGTAAAATTATATGGCAAAATATTATGGCAAAAATAGTTCCAGACTGATGTTTTTCCTTTGTTTCTGAATTTCCCCAATGTATTAAATATGGTACAGAGGTTTTGTAACACAAGTAGGATGAATGTGTCACATTCTATTATGCTGAAAGCTATTATTAAAATCAAAGTGTTCAGAGGAGAAAGGCCAATGCACTAACTCACTGGACCACCCAGCTCCCAGGCAAAAATAGAAGCAACATTCTCTTTGTTGACTATAGGCTCTTCTGGCTCATGGGGATACTTCACTGGAGGGAGAAACTGTGGTTGCTGATCTTCCAAACATTTCTTGTAAGTGGAATGCTTCACTTCTTTTCCCCTCCATAATGTATCCCCAAAACCCCAATCCTTGGAATATATAAAAGAATACAATCCTTAGTGTCCCATATAAAGCATTTTTTCAGTGTTCAAGGAGACAGCCAAGGGAGCAGATGCCTCACTGGGTTGGGTGGAGTTTACCAATGGCCAGCCATCAGTACTGTGAGCATCCAACAAAAGCTGGCTCTATTTTGCACTTATGCAAC